CAAGAAGCATTTGGATGATCCTCTCAGGGACATGGTGTAACTCTTGAGGATGGTCCTGTGCAGGGCTAAGAGTTGGACTTGTTGATCCTTGTGGGTCCCTTCCAACTCATCATATTCTGTGATTCTGTGGTTCTGTGACACCCTCCCTTCAGACACTTGTATTCATTAATGAAGTCCTTTCTCAGTTATCTCTTCTTGAGTCTGAATGGGCCCAGCTCCCTCAGCCTTTCCTCATAAGAGGGATGCTTCATTTTTGTTGCCCTCTGATGGACCCACTTGAGGAGCTCCATGTCTCTCTTGTACAGAGGAACTCAGAACTGGACATGACACTCCGGATGGGGCCTCACTAAGGCTGAATAGAGTGGCAGGATCACCTCCCTTGACCCTCTTCCTGGGGTGCATTAGGTGCTCTTCCTAATGCACCCCAAGATGCCATTGGCCTTCTTGGTCACCAGGGCACACTGCTGGCTCATGGACAACTTGTTGTCCACCAAGACCCCCAGGTCCTCCTTCACAGAGCTGTTTTCCAGCAGGTCAGCCCCCCGCCTGTACTGGTGTCTAGCGTTACTCTTCCACATTTGCAGGACCCTGCATTTGACTTTGTTGAACTTCACATAGTTCTCTGCCCACCTCTCCAACCTGTCAAGGTCCTTCTGAAGGGCTGCACAGCACTTCGGGGTATCAGCCACTCCTCCCAAGTTTGTGTTGTCAGCGAACTTGTTGAGGTGGCATCTATCCCTTCATCCAAGTCATTGATGAATAAGGTGAGCAATACTGGACCCCGACTTGAAGCTTGAGGGACACCACTGGTGACAGGCCCCCACCTAGATCCTGTGCCACTGATTATGACGTTCTGGGATCCGCCATTCAGTCAGTTCTCAATCTATGTCACTGTCCACTCATTCAGTCCACACTTCCTGAGTTTACCTATGAGGATTTTGTGAGACACAATCGTGGAAGCCTTGCTAAAGTCAAGGTAGACCATATCCACTGCTCTCCCCTCCTCCATCCGGGTAGTTGCTTCATCATAGAAGGCAATCAGGTTGATTTAGCATGATTTATCTTTAGTGAATCCATGCTGACTTTTCTTGATCACCTTCTTGTCCTCCATCCCTGAATAGGGATGACCTCCAGAATGAGGCATTTCATCACCTTTCCAGGGACTGAGGTGACGGTGATCGGATGGTAGTTCCCTGGGTTCTCCTTCTTGCCCTTTTTGAAGACTGAGGTAACATTTACTTTCTTCCAGTCCACAGACACCATTCTTGATCACCATAACCTTTCAAAGATGATTGTGGGCAGATTCTCTATGGTGTCCTCCAGCTCTCTCAGCGCACATGGATGCATGCTGTCAGGGCCCATGGACTTGTGGATGCCAATAATGGGCCCACATCATCCTTACTTTTCCTAAGCATGGTTTCACCCAGTATCTCTGCATTTATTTGTCCTTGTAAATACAGAATTCTTGTCTATTACACAGGAAGGTAGGAGAGAGCTGAGACTTATGGCTTTGTCTCTTTCTACAACTAAAATAGGATTGCTCAGTGTTAAGACTCTTATGAGTGGTTCCTAATTATTGTCTTGCAGAACATTTGCAGATGTTTCAAGCACTGCCAGTATCTGTCAAGTTATGCCTCCTACTGCACACAGGTTGCATTTGCAGAAATGCATTTTTTAAATTAATACTGATTTTAAATGCCTCTGGGCTCTGAATTCCTTTAACAGACCTCGGTATGTGCAGTAGTTGTTGCCCTATCACTATACACTCTGTGTTAGATCAGTATCAGGTTAAAAGAACATTTGGTTTCTGTGTAACCAGTATGACTATCTTTCTTTAATATAAATACATACACCAAAATACTTTTATTGGAATGTCTTCAAAATACAGCAGGACAAGAGGCCTTACCAGCATCACCAGGTCCGATTCACAGCATATTTCTGAGCTTAGTGTCATGACATCCCTCAAACTACCAAGTACAGAAATGAGATTGAGAAAATTTTGCGTCTAGAGAAAGAAAGACCTAGAGAGCTAAATTACTGTCAGTTTCTACTTCTCAATCTTAGCCTAGAAAATTAGCTAATCCTGTTTTCAAGCTGCAACAAGGACCATGAAATACCTGCTCATCTCTTCACAGTCACTGAGTATGGCTCTTTGCCTTCCATGTGACGTCCATCAGTACACAGCCAAAATGCCCTGGCTGAGCATGTTGTTTCTATGGTCCAACCTCAACATTTAACTGAGGTCTGTGATCTTCCCAGTCTTGTTGTATGTTCAACAAACATGAAGAGAAATAAGCTTCTTCAGAAGAGATCTTGAAGAAAGAGATTGATGTAGGTACTCTGAATCACACTTTCGAGAGGATTGTGGATCTCATCTCTCTCCCTGACCTACACAGAATTTAGGAATCCCAGCCTGGGCATGTCTCTTTGGCACTTAAAACTAGGAAAAGTGCATTAGTGTCTCAGGGAACAGCTTGGACCCCAGAAAAAGTATTCAACTATTATAATACAGCTCATCAGTAGATAAAGCTAATCAACAGAAATAATTTTGATGGAAAAATCAATATGTCAAAGTCAAACTGACTTCAACAGGGCCAGTATTTCATCCTATGTGATTTTAAACTAGCCACAAAGTGGACATTGCTGTGCTGCTGACATTGGGGCTATCATTTTATGCCTAATTCAGACAGTAAACCTTTCACTTGCTAGGTACTAGATGGACAGACTCATACATAAATAACCCTTCAAGGATAAACACCCTTTTTAAATCACTGAAGAATCTGAGTGGGAGCTTAATCACTAACATGGACTGGCAGGTCATTTTTTTGACACTTGCACACAATTTTGAAAATCAGCCAGAACTGACAGGTTAAAAGTTTCTGCACTCCTGTTATAGACAGTATAGTGGACACAACTGTGCCTAAATAAAACAGAAAAGAAAATTTAAGGTATTTAGATTTTTAGTATGATTAGTATGTTTTCTCTTTTGAGAAAACATTTTTCTGTAATACTACATGATTTACCACCATTGATAGATCTAAAAAATGAAAAAAAAAAAAAGAAAAAAACAGTAATCAAGGTCCCACTGTTTGTGTGATAAAGCCATGCCTCAGAAAGCTCAATCCAGAAGACCTTTGCAAGCAAGCTGCATTTATGCAATTTATTCAGGAAACAGATCACAGTCTAAATCAACAATGTATAATATAGAGATTATTCAGGAAACAACAGTTCTAAGCAAAGGTCTTCCAGGCAAATTCTCTGGTTCTCCAACCTTCACCTTCTCCTCAAACTTACTCCTGTACTCTGCAGAGTTACTGAGGTACCAATAATGACACTCCTCCCCTCACCCTCAATTTAATAAAGTACTGAAATTTTGTATTATTTTATTGACATTTTAACTTTCACGTATCATAATTGCATGATCAATACTTTGCATGATTAATGAGAGAAATCAAAAAGATAGGTGAATGTTTGATTTTTTTCCACTTACCTACTGATCAAATTCCCTACGCACATCTAACATACTTGTTAAATGACAGAATTAATAATCAGCAAAACAATTCAGCTGAAAAAATCTCCTTACTTATACCAATATTTCTCACAAACACTGAATTTGTGCCTGCATGCAAAGCAAAGTCTAGGCAAAAGCCCTTGTAAAAGCCTGACAAAGGGATCAAGCGAAGTTGGAAGATGTTGCTGAACTCACTGTAGAACTGGTAAACACAAGTTCCCTTGCTGAAAATGTCATGGAATCAAAACCAGCTCCTCATGGCCTTTGGACACTTGTCTTGGGACAACAACTGACACATTTTTGCTGTAATAGTCTACCTCAGATTTCCAGCCACTAAAATGGGAGAAATGAAAACGCTTTATGTTGGTATTCAGAGTTCTTTGAAATGGAAAATCAAGTCCATTCATTTCAAATACTGTTACTGTTTCATAGAGTGCAGACTATATCAGACCTTGGGGTCAGCATTTCAAGTCTCTATTTCTCGACATGATGTTGAAAGCATGTTCCTGTTTTAATAAAACATGGGGTTTTTTTGCACCAATGCTTTGTAGCATATGCAATATGGATATTAAATCACAAAAACTACTACTTTTTTCATAAAATAATAATAAATTATAATTGATAATTGATAAAATATAAGAAGAAGAAAATAATAGCAAAAGCCTTCACAGTTGTTATAAACATACCATAATCTCTATTTTGTTTAGCAGAAATACACATTAACTTCAACTGTGTTAAAAACATTTACCTAATCACATGGTTTTAATATTTTTTGTTGTCATCTAATAACTAATACAATCATTATTCAACTAACCATTGCAAATCCTCTGAAAGAGTAAATCTTACAAAAAGTGAATGTTATACCAAGTTTTGTGTCACTTCCCTGAATATTTGATTTTTTAAAAATCAGAATATTAAAGACACTTGCATATTTTACATGAAGTCCAGAAATCAAGTTGTTCAACTAATATTAAATGTCTAAAATTCCATAAAAGAAGATAGAATATTTTCATTAGATAAGACTTTTTGCCAATAAACAATTGTAACAGAGGAGAAACCAGTCCTTTTTCTAATTCCATAACTTAAGATAAAGCTGAAGGATTAAAATAAGAACAATAAGCATGTTATCATCCCATTATTATGAAGCATATCTCAGTTACATTGAACTATTACAAATAAATGACAGGGAAAATAATCTACTTGGTTGGAATAAGTGTCATACAATACTTTGTATAAAAATAAAAGAACATTTGGGATAGAAACCCCAAAATTATTATTATGCTAACTATGTAACAAGTATCAGACAAAAAATGCAAGCTATTAATTAAATAAACCAAAACATATGAAGAAAAACAAAAGAGGATAACATTTCATACAACACTTAATTTTATTTATTTAATCTTGTCTCAGGCGCCTGTAATATTTAAGTGTTACCCAATTACCACAGTACAAAGCCCTAAAACCACTGAAACAAAATTCAAAAAGCTCAGATATCTAGCCAAGACAGCGCAATTCAAACTTCCTATCAAAAGAAATCAATTGCTCACAGGTACAAAGAACAGGAAAAAAAGGGAATAGAAGGAATGAATTACACAGTGGAATGGGCAAAGAGTGGATGAGAATAAGCCATCCTAAATCACAGCGACTGTTTTTATAGTATTTTAGGTGTTCGCAGTACTTTAGATACAAACCCAAACCCTGAATAACTCTATAGCAGCAGAATTCAAGCCTAAATGCTGTCAACTCCCCAAGAACAGGGAGAGGGGACAGAGTACCCAAATAAAGTTAAGCACAGATAAAACCCACACACATACAGTAAATGTTAGAACATTCTGTTTAGTATGTTTACATTTTAAGAACAAGACTATAAGCATGGAACGAGGTTAGAAAAGGATTTGCTTTTTTTTTCTTTAAAACATGACACATGTAATACATAACCCAGATAATCTTCTCACAGACATTTGAGAATTGACCACAAAGTGAATAAGCCTTGCAGCATAGCTGGAGTGAGTAAGTCATTCTTCTCCAGAAGTGCAAATGAGAGGCAGATTCTGTAAAAGTTGCAGCTTCCAGATCAAGGAGTCCTGTTCGGGGTCAAACTGTGACAAGGTAAAGGAAGGAGACAGATAGCATCGTCCCTAACCTTTAGCAGCATCTCTAGAACAGAAATTGTAACACCATATTAGGTACCCAAGATACTTTCCTGTCTCAAAGGGAGATATCCACAACACCTAAAGTTGGTAAAATGAGAAACACCAGTGACAAAGGTTAGCTAAAGTCACATGCCATCTTTGAGATGTCTTGCTGGCAACTTTGGAAAGGCACTTTGCCATCCAGGAAGCCACACCTCGAAAATGATTTTTAAAAGAAAACTCCTCCATATTTTTTCTCCCAAGAATTCAATAATCTTTCTCCTTCCTATTAAAAGAAAAAGATATCTCTGTGTAGCTATTGACACAGCACACTTCTTAAACCTGTTTCTCAGAGTGAAGCTCTACAGCCAGTTTGGGTGTATGTAAACCAGTAAATAAAAATGGGCCAGGGACCAGTCTCTGACCTCTGTCTTTGAGGCCACAAGGCTCTGACTAGCAGATTTTATACTCCTTAGGACTAGTCTCCTCTAGAGAGATTTACCCTGGGTTAGCATAGGAAGGGTGTGAATCAAGAGTTAAGCAGTGTGGACAACAAGAATTCAGTGCTGAAGCCTGCTCTGCTGTTATCTTTTATTTAGAGAATGGTCCCCCCACTACTCTGGGGAAGGAGCATTGTTCGGCCTCCCTAAGAAAATCAGCAAGAAAAAACATTTGTAAAAACAGATAACAGAATCTATTACATCATTTGGCAGAAACTGGGAAAAAAATATGCTTTTGGGATGCAAACATTTTTATGTTTCAGTCTTGAAAACTAAATAAATTTTGGAAGAAATTACTCGTTTTAACCTGGTTATAAGATATACCTTACTGTGACAAGATGGATTTGAGATTCATTGGGCCAGAAAGGAAAAGCAAGTTGGGAATATGGCTTTCTAGTTTGGTGATGCTGGCTGCTCAGTGATTCTAGGTTCTGTCCCCAAAAATATCGGTCATTTTGGCATATAAACCAATGATTGTTGAATGCAAAGCTCAGCAGTGTGATTACACAAGTAGGGACAAGAAACATAGGACTCTCCCTCTGAAATGGGTGCCCTAAGTTTTCACGCTCAGTGGAGGTGTTCATATCTGCTACTGTTCTATTAACTAGAACCCTCTCCCAGGAGGATGTGAAGGAACAGGGACTGCCTGTATGGATGTTCCAGCCAGTAAACATGGGAAAAAATAAAATACCACTCTTTTTTCAGGGAGAGAGAGAAAGATTTTCCTTGTATTTTTTAGGGGTTTTGATAATACTGGGACAAAATCAGTATAAAAAAACTTCATGGAGCCCCAATGAAGCTTAAACAGAGAAAGGTTCCATTTCTCAAACGAAAAGGAATGTTAGGCAAAAATTAAGGCATCATAATGTGTCTCCTGCCGTTCTTGGAAGGTGATAAATCAAAATGCCCATTGAGCAACAAATATTTTCAAGAGTGCTGTTTTGATCTAATTTCCCTCTAAGTCTCAGTTTAGGTGCCTACACCTAATCTTAGACATTGCATTGCTCTAAAAGTATATTCACCTAGAATAGAAAGTATATCCACATAGAAACATGTCTATGCATCTTCAGTGGCACACACACATCCACATTCTACTGTATTCTCTGCTATCAGCTTAGACAAAATCATTGAACAAATCACATTAATATTGTCTCCTATCATTACCTAGTTTAGGTGTTATGACTACTCATCACCACTGAGAGGACAGAAAAAGTGGAGATTTGGCAGCTGTGGATGGCAGGCTGGCTTTCTTGAATTTAGGTGCTGTAGTCACTGTGACTAAACACCCTGAATAATGTCTAGCTTAAATCATCATTTACAAAATAAGGAATTGATACCAAGCTATGCAAAGAGGTGTATGATAATGAGGAAGACAAAGAGAACTAAATCCATGTCAAGTACTATTATAATTTCATGAATGACAGTTATGTGCTGACCACTTGTTTCTTAAAGCCTTTTCTTCTCTACCCCAGGGGAATACAGTTTCTGATGACTTTCACCTAGCTTTCACCCTGTCTTCAGTCAAGTTTCAGGTTCTGAATCAGAAACCTAAAAATTGTACCAGGACAAATATCGTTCTATGATGCTATTACTCTAGCAGATGCAATAAATGAGACACCCTCCTCATCAGTGAAAAACTAAAATTATGCGATAAGAAAGTGTCCATGTCAACAGTGAGATACTGAGTTTAGTCATGAGGATGTAGAACAATTGCATCAGGTTTAAACAGAGGAAGAGGTGGGAAAAATCTGTAATCTTTATGTGCTCCAATAAGTTCAACTCTAAACCCTGCATTTCTAATTAACTCCTAAAAGTTTGCTGTCATTTTTACTTTGATCTCCTGTCTAAATTCACCATCACACAAGCAAAGAAATAAATAGTGAAGACATTTAAATGACAGTGAAACAGTAAAAGAACAAAAACCCACAACATCCATGGAAGTCTCTCTCTTTCTTGGAATAGATCTGAATAAGTATCATGTTAAAAAAGTATCTGCAACAATGCTATGTGTGTGAAGACTGCTTAGATTGCACTGTCTAAGACGGCTGTGGTAAAAATGGTGTTCTAACCATCCAGGAATTACGTGCACAGAGTATTTCCATATTCTTGGCAAATGCTTGCACAGGGCTAGGACTGAGGTGAATACACACGTTAATGCTCACCAGATCCTTCATACAGATAATCTGTACCAAGTGCTTCTCTTGATATGAATAATTCACCTTATTACTGACTTCATGGCCTATTGAGTAATGCAAGTGTGCTATGCAAAGACAAAGCCTTAAATCCATAATTGTACTTTTTGTTTTGCTAGAGGATTTTTATTTTGTTCAGTATACAGCATTATCTTTAATCCCGAAAAGGGCTTGTTACATGATTCTGCATTGTACCACAAGATTGTTCCATTTGTTAAATGGAGTAATATTATTTTATCCATCTGGTAAATCGCTCTGGGGTTTGCAGAAGAAACAGGAATATTTATTTTAATATGTTGGATGGTAGCCTCTGCACAAAGACACAGTAATTATATCTTTCACTATGCCCCTACCCAAGCCCACAATATGTATGTATATAAATAAAATGGAATGTACGTTTGGCCTTTAAGTCTTGTTTCTGGCATGTTGCATTACTTACTTTATGTCAGCCCTGTGTAATGTGATACAGATCTGTATTCTGGTATCACTAGTTCGGTCAGAGTCAGTGTTTGTTTTACCATCTTGCAAAAGCAATAACTCTTACAACTGTCCAGATAGATACAAATCTCACCTGAAATATTCAGAATGAATCCTAAGACGGTTTGCTGGCATCCAGACGGGAAACTGTAGTGCTCTTGCTCTTTTCTTCTACCAAGACCTGAATACTGAGAAAAACAATATTTACAACTGAGTGAGTTTCCAAACTGCCTAACTTTTCAGCTGTGTGTTTTTTATATGTTAAATATGGTTCAGAAGATTAAAGTCTTCGTTTTAGGCAAAGAAAGGAAATAATGTTTCCTGTCCCATTTGCCAAGCTAAGTGAACAACTGTTCCAGCACAATTAGAATTGTTAATTGATTTGAAAACATAGGGCTTTGAAGGTGGAAAACTGCTGACATTATTTCAATGGGGAAATGCACTCCTGAGAGAGAGCACTGCAGTACAATTTCTCTCCTTGTTTTGTTGAATATACATCTATAAAAACACTGTGAATCATGCAGTAAAAACTGCTGTGCTGATATCATAAATCTCTGATAATAAAAATTTCATTGTTGAAACAATAAAATAGACTTTTATTATAACACAGAGTATCCACCTAAACATTGTCCTTTTAGCTTCTTTGAGTTAAATGTATGCACAGTTTTACAGTCTATAAACAGATCTGGAATAAAAGTTAATAAATGTCAAAATTTGCATTTCAAAAAATTCTTGCTGCATTTTAGGGAAGATCAATCTATGAACCTTTCAACATTATGTCAAATGAAATGCTAATTGTACCTTTAGGAATTTCAGAGACAGTGACAAGAAACTAAATGCTCTGTTCCTTTGCATCAGCAAGTCGAGGATAATTGTATATCTACTCTTGTGAACTTCTAAGAAAAAAAGAGATGCTAAGGAAAAAGGGTTTTCTATTCTTTAACTCAGGAGAGTAAACTCCTTCAGCCACCCTTCATCAATCTACCTTCAAATAAATTGTGTTAACATGTTGACAATGGACAAATCACATAGAGCTACATTTATTCATTTTATAATAGGTTTGTCAAATGAACTTCAGCTAGAGATTTAAGAGTGAGAAACATTTCCATCCAGGAATAACAGGCTTTTTCTATCCAAGTTGCTAGAATGGTTTGTACATACATTTCTTTTTTTTTTTTTTTTGGAAACAACTACCTTTCTCCTCCCTCTTCAAATATTAGTAAAGTACTAGGTCTTTGACGGGTAAACCCACTAAATATATAAAGAAGATGTATAAGAGGTTTTTTACATCCTCTCTAGATAAATTCATAATACATCCCTTGTTTTGTTTAGGAATCAATCTTAGCAGTTTATCTCTAAGCAGCACAAATTGTATGCCATAGTGGTAAGTGCAAGAACACACTCATGCAATAAGGAAAACTAGCTGGAAAGTAGCACCTAATTCAGGTTTGCAATGTTTTCCCTGGTATTAGCCTACCCTCACTATTGAAATATATTTTGTACAGCAACACTGAGATAGTTGAAACATTTATTTTCTGTGTGGAAATTGAGAGACAGAATGAACCCAAGGAAATGTTTATGCTCATGTTAACTTATTCAGTCAGCTTTATCCTGATCAGGCCTGGACTAGGCATCTTCTAACTATCTAAATCCTTTTATAGCGTACAATCTGTGGTTTCCAAAACAGAGACCAGCCTCATCCTGCCTTTCTGCCTTATGATCTATAGGCCTACATTTGTATATTTTAGGTCATTCAGTGTAAAAACATTTCAAACTGTATTTCATTGAGAAGTTATAAAAAGAGGCCACACTTCAGAGCTAGAATTCATATTGGTGAAACTACTTCTCTTAGTGTTACCACTGTATATCTGAAAAGGAAGCTGCAGATCTTACACTTAAGTGTTTGAGCCAGATCCTACTGTCACTAAAATTGAAGGCAATTTTGTCTTTGATGGGAATAGGGATTAGGTGGGATCCTTGTATTTATAGGTCTACAAGAGTATGTACTGACAGACATATTTTTAATTTACACTAAGCAAACATGAAATTATGTGTTCATATAAATATATGTGATATATTTAAGTAATTTCAGATCTGTGTAATCTCTCGCTGCTAGAATACAAGATAATCACTGGCTCAAATTTGATATTCATCCATTTTTTTAAAAAAATGCTGATTTCTATGCCATCTCCATGATATATAATAGCTAGATAATTGGAAAATATGGTAAACACGGACCTTACCTACCTAGTACTTCTTTTTATAGCAACTATTTCCAAATGTATGTTTTCTCTGTTCTTCAGTAAAACCAAATCCTGACTCTCTGTTCTAACAAAATGTTATTCAGTTTCACATTTGCTATAGGTATATTGGAACAAGAAGCAATACACATTAGAAATAAAGGAATTTTACAAATATTGTTTTACGAACAACATTGTACTACAACTTTTTGGGATAAGTGTGTTTCAGTATACCTGTAAAATTTTTAACCATAATTTCCAAACAAATTTTATGGATGTAGACAATTCACTGGGGCCCTTCCTTCACCAGTATATCTTTCACAAATATAAAGTTTACAATCAGGTGGATTTTTATTTTCATTTGACTTCATGCCTACATTAAAAAAAAAGAACAGATAGGAAACAGACAGAACTTTCTTAAGCACTATGTTCATATCCTTTTCTTTTTTTTTTTTTTTTTTTAGGAGTCAAAACTGCAGGCTAATAAAGACCATTTAAAATAAAAGGGACCATTACTCCTCAGTTTTATATGAGCTTACATGCTTTCATTGTGCAAAGTGTGTTATTAATTTAACATGCCAGATTCATAGGTTTCTGCAATATCAGGTTTGATGTATTCATTATCGGCACTCAGTACATTAATTCACGCTGAAGTCCGGTAAATCAAAATTATACCATCTGGCTTCCTGTTCTTAATGATGAATTTGATGTAGGGGTGATTAAGATTGTTAGGCTTTTGAATTTTAATGTAAAAATTAGGGGATTAAAAAGGCATTTAGAAATGACCAATAGTTAGAATAAACTTACTGACAGGATCTAATTTGTGTACTTGCTAGTAAAGCTCCATTTTAATTAGCAGCCACAGTCTTTCAGCACAAGCTCAAAGAGACAGAAGTTTAGTGATTAAGAAGATGAAGCTGTTAAATTGATAAATTGACCTTGAAATACTTGTAACTGTGGGGGATGGCCTAGTAGTTGTATGGTTGGTATGTTGTGCTACCACATGGGGGAAAGAGTTTCGTGACTGACCCTGGTAATTCTGCCTTCTTAGATGATTGACCAGCTGGGAATGGGACAAATCACAGAGGTGACCCCCTCAGTGTCTAAATTCAATTGCTCAGTTCGCAAGCAAACAAATTCCATTATTATTCAGCACTTGCTGGCAGATAGCCTGAAATACCACCTCAGTTCTTCAACATCTTACTCACTACCTTTGCCAGAGAGAGGTGCTAAAACAAGGTAAAAACGATAATGGGGTTGAAACGACATCATAAGTTGAATGATGACCTGTCAACTTCCATTGAGAGCAAAACAGTCAGGGACAAATTTGGCTCTCACTTGTCAAATGTTCTTGACAGTGGCCAAGCAGTCAAATCTTTGACAAGACAATTCCATTGTACCTATGATATTTTATTAATCTCAAACAAAGACATTGCATACTGGTGCATGGAAATTGCTAGAAATCTTTAACAGGACAGATAAAATATGTTAGAGCTGTAGCATACAAGGGGAAGATAGCTCTGCTTAGGGTGGTTGAGCTTGTTACACGTGGAATCATATTAGGGCCAACAAGCTAAGGAAACTCAAATTCATACACAAAGTATAATTGAAATGATAATTTAGAAAACTATGCTCCCATGTTTTGGCAAAGTTGCAGTTATTTGTAGCATCTCAGAGAAATGTGATAATACGTTAAATCTCATCTTCCCTTTAAAAATCCTAAAGGTAGTCACTCATATTGGTACACTGTGGCAGGTATAACTTACAAGAGAAAACGAGTACATTTGTACATATCAACAGTTTGAAGGATTCTTATTCCTTGGCAAGTCAGGGAATATTTTAAGTCTTATATTTTAGAGGAAATCGAATCTTGACTAACCGCTGCAATTTATGTCATTTTAAATAAGATATATTTGAATAAGTATATTTTTCATGCCCTAAAAAGACTGATGTCTTCTTTTATAAGCTCATCCTGTGACACACTTGAGTAGGTAGGTATATTGATTTTTTTTCTTTTTCTGATGGCAATGAAGTGTAAATGGAAAATATCAGACTTGGCAATCACTTAAACCATGTGAAAATTTCAGAGTGAAGGCTATTAGAGTCACTTTGTGATCTCCCTAGATGACCAAGGGAAAAAACATTTCTACATTTCTTCAGATCCTTTGTGTGACAGCTAAGGAGAATAACATTTTTTCTAATATGCCAGTTTTACTCTCTAGTTGAGAATAACCTCAGTGCTTTCTTATGTCACTAGCTGAGAGAAGATGAAAGACCCAGCCTTGTGTAAATGGCTTTGTCTAACCATCAGTCTTTAGCTCTGCATGGCAGCTGTACTATTGACATTAGCTTGTGCACTGGGTGAAATTGAAGTGAGTTAAATGTGACCTTGGCTTAGTTGTTGAAGTAGAAATGAACTCTACTGGGAGTGAAAAAAAATAAGACCAGTTTCTCTAACTTCATTTTTTCTTTAATGAGTTTAACAGCACTCTTAGGATTTGGTACATTTTATAAAAAAGCTTTTATTTCCTTTTCTATTATACAGTGAGTAATCACCATTAGTAAGGTTAGCTTGCCCTTTTAGTATAAAATCCTGATTTTAGGTGTTTATATCCCAATTACTATAAAAAGCAGATCTCTCTCTCAAAAAAAAAATATCCGCTATCTTTTCTCTATGTTGTCTGCTGTACCATTTCTCAAAAACCTGTTACCATACTTATTAATTATAGTTAAAGCACTAAAAAAATGCCAAATGTTCAGTGCTTCAAATGACTTTGCATTGTCTTTATGTTACATTGAAATTAACTGAACTACTTACTGGTAAATCATATGCTCATGTGGGAAACATGCAGATAAATGAGGATAGTTTGGACCCAACCCAGGATTTTCATCTTGTTGATATTCTGCATTTCTTCTGTGTGTACATGACAACATGGGATATCTGAAGGTGGGCGCAAGAACCAGAAACAACCAGCCACATTCTCACCCAGGTGTTCAGCTTATTGTGGATAAGGGTTCAACTGGGGATCACAGAATCATAGAATGGTTTGTGTTGGAAGGGATCATCTAGTTTCAGTTCCCTCTGTCATGGGCAGGGATGCAACTCACTAGATCATGTTTCTCTGGGCCCCACCCAACCAGGACTTGAACATCTTCAGAGATAGGGCATCCACAAATTCCCTGGACAGCCTGTTCCAGTGCCTTACCACCCTGTCATTAGAGAATTTTCTCCTAATAATGAAATTAAATCTCTCTTTTTTAGCTTAAAAATCTTCCCCCTTGCCTGATTGCTATCTACCCATGAAAAAGTGAGTCTCCCTTTTTATAAGCCCCCTTTAAGTGCTAGAAAACCTCCTGATCTCCCCAGAACCTTCTCTTCTCCCTAGCTCTCCCAGCCTGTCTATGTCGGAGAGGTGATCCAGTACTCTCATTATCTTTGTGACCCTCCTCTGTACCCACACTAACAGGTCCACATCTTTCTTATGCTGAGTCCAGAGCTGTACTCTAGGTGGGGTTTCATGAGGCCAGAGTAGAGGGGGAGAAACACTGCTGAAGTCTGCAAACACACATTTTTTTCATCTTTTCATCTACCTTCTCCTCAGGGCTACTGTCAGTGACTTCTTGCAGTCTGTACTCATGTGTGGGATTACCACAGCAGCATCTTGCACCTGGACTTATGGAACTTCATGGGCCCACTTCTCAAGTCCGTCTGGATAGCACCCCTTCCTTCTGTTGTGTCAACTGCACTGCTCAGCTCCGTGTCATTTGCAAATTTGCAGAGGGTGCACACAATCTCATTGTCTTTGTCACTGATAAAGATTTAGAGAGCACCAGTCCCAGGACAGAGCCCTGACAGTCACCATTTGTTCGCTGTCCTCCACCCAGACATAGAGCCATTGACCAGATCTCTCTGGCTGCATCCATGCAGCTAATTCCTTATTCACCAAATAGTCCACCCTTCAAACACGGGTGTGTCCAATTTGGTGTTAAGGATTTTGTGTGGAACTGTGTCAAACGTCTTGCAGAAATCTAGGTGGATGACATTGATCAGTCTTCCCTTTTTAACCATTGCAGTCACTCCATCACAGAAGGCAGCACGTTGGTCAGGCACAATTTGCCCTTAGTGAAGCCATGTTGGTTGTCTCAGATCACTTCCCTGTCTTGTATGTGCCCTAACATTGCTTCCATGAGGTTATGTTCCATAGTGTTCTCAGGAACAGAGGTAAGGATTACTGTTCTGTAGATTTTCCTTTATTCTGCTTTTAGAAATAGAAGGGAAGTTTCCCTTTTTACAGTCACTGAGGTTTACACCTGACCACCATCCTGACTTTACAAACAGGATGGAGTGTGACTTGTTGATCACATAAGGTAGTTCCCTTAGGACCCTGTGATGCATGTCATCAGGCCCCAGAGACTTGTACCTTTTCAGTTTTGTCAGATGGTCTCAAACCTGCTCTTTGCTTACTTTGTTCCCCCATCCTGGAGGTTGAGAGATGTGAGCCTGACTGCCAGTGAAGAGTCAGGTGAAGAGCTTGCTGAGTACCTCAGACTTCTCCATATCCATTGTCACTGAAGCTGTACTGGGCTATGTATATCAGATACTCCCACCAGCCCGCAAGATAATCTCGGTGAAATCAAACAGAAGAGTAAACCTCATGTTTACTGTTGAGGTAATAAAGTAGACATATTTTATAGAAAAGGATTTCAGAGGAAGCTGCATAGTTGGGAACCAGAAGATGAGCTGTTCCAAGGCTCTGTGGATTCAGAACCACTACAGGAGAAAGAAGGCCAGAAACTTTCAGAGAAAGAATCGACCACAGAGAAATCTTTCCCTACCTTCCTGACTGCTTCTGAGAGATCTCAGCTCTGCTGCTCAGACTAAAGGCAGAATGCTCTGATCTTGGAAAATCTGCTGCAGCAGTCCCAACACTGAGCATACCTCTGGATGAAGAACAACTTGCTCTTGGTGGGAGAGACCTACAACAAAAATACAATGATAACAATTTGGGGGGATTAGGCAGGAGGTTGCCTGCAGCTGTTTGTCAAAAGACTATCCTTTTGTTTTGGGCATTTTGGCAAGCAATTTTTTTCCCAATAGGTGAACTTCAGTGAATTT